GGGTAACGGGGGGAAGGCGCCTGCCCCAGCCCACCCGGTTCCCGTGTGCGGGCCAGCCCCGAGCTCGGGGCGAGGCGGACAGCGGCATCCCCGGGGAAGACCGCAGGGGACGGTCGGGCGGTGGTCTCCTCTCCTCGAAAGTTACCGTCGGCCGCTGCCGAGATAGCCGCGCGCCCCGCCCGGTCTCTGCAGGCCGAGCGGACCGGGGAGCCCACTAGGAAACCGACTTGCCAGATTGGGGCTGTAGCGCGCTTACTCAGACCACAGTCGGTGCGTTATCCGGGATCTCCCATCTCGGCGCTGAAGTTTCTTGCAGTGGTTTTTCGTGTGAACCCGGACGCTGTAACTGTACTTTATCTCGTTGAGTGACCAAATGTACTTGTAAGAATAACTCGAGCCCACTTCACACTTACTTCTGCCCCACTGTCCTTATGCCCGCCCCCGGAAACGTTGAAAGAAGAAAACTACTTTGAAAAGATACATAGGTTGCCTACCATGTCTGTATTTAATGCGTTTAAAAAACAAGCATTATTTTGCTTTATACATATTTTTGAACACAGGAAAGATAATAAGGAATTAGGTTTTCATTTGGAGAGAACAGTGTCTGGAGACTGAGGTGTTCACCACATTATTCTTCTCTTGTGTTTAAAGTATAACTTCCTCAGAGAAACAGAGTGTAAACAGTCTATTCATGTTTTGCACAAATACAAAGGAGAAAAAAAATCACCCAGTTTGTATAGAATGGTGTAGTTTATATTTTATTTTCATATAGTGTTTTGCGACCGAAGAATGTGTCACGTTTATTTCATTTTATTTACCTTATTTTATTTATCTTTATTTTAAAATCTCCAGTTTAACACCTTCCTATGTCTGTACACTCATTAAAGACTGATACGTATTGCATATGATGAGCTCATGTTAGAAAAATAAACAGAATGTTAATGTTAAACTACTTCAGGAAACTTCTTTCCAAAGAAACTTTTGCTCTAGTGTAAAATAGAAGAAATTAAATGTCTACTTATCTAATCTCTTTCTGGAAATAGTTGTACTGAATATAGTTTGTATTTTTTAGTGAATGACATTAAAGTTAAACTATTGCTAAGGTTAATATGAACAGCCACTTGCCTTTTGCATGTGTTCTGATTGATAACATCTAAAATTATCATGTGTATCCCATATCTGATTCTGTTCAGGAGATGGTTAGCATAGTGATTTCATATTGGTGTGAGTCATTTCATATTACTACATTAAGCCTGAAGCTAAAAACAAGTTGATTACAGGAGTTTATCTAGTTCATTACCTTACTTTTAAATAATTGTAAGACCAAAGTGTTTTTGCCTTTAGAAAATATTTTAACTAACAAAGAAAACCCAAGAGTATTTATGAAAACCAATAAATAATCCCAGTGAATTTTTCTTTGTGCCCTGAATTTTTAATTTCTCATTATCCATGTTTATTTTATTATTTTAATAGTTTATATATAAACCACAATTTTTGATGGTTGACATTTATCTGGTCAAAAAGTCTAAAAAAGGGAAAAAAGATAAAAAGGGGGGGAAAAAGACTGCAGGGTATTTTCTAACCTGTTAGGCTAAGTTCATTTTAATAAGGTAGAAATACCACTTATTAAGTATAAGAAAGCTTTGGTAGACCTTGTACAAAAACACTGAATTATTATTTTCAATCAGATAGTTTGATGTGGATAAACATTTATTGCGTTTTCAGTGCTATTCAGTGTGTTAGGTGTTTTAAAATACATTGCCTTGTTAAATGCTTAACAACCAGTGGATTAAATATTATTGCATATGAGCGATTACTCAGCATTTACAGATGAGGAATCACTCAGAGAAAGTCATATAACTAGTATTAGTGGTAGAATTTCAGCCTAGGTCCATCTAATTCTTTCCTCTTTATCACATAGCCTCCTTATGTACAGACAGGTATTACCATTCCAGTTTTTACAGGTAATGAAACCAAGATTTGGAGAGAGAAGATAATTTGCCCAAAGATCTGTAGCTAAAGGCCAGGAGAGGTGATATTAGCCAGGATTTGAGCCTAGTTTGAGGTAACTCCAAAACCATAGTCTGTTAAAACAGCTACTTAGATGAAGTCAGACCCAGCCTATTAGCTAAAGTGTTTTGTTTAGATCAGGGGTCCTCAAACTACGGCCCGCAGGCCACATGCAAATACAAATATTGTATTTGTTCCCGTTTTGTTTTTTTACTTCAAAATAAGATATGTGCAGTGTGCATAGGAATTTGTTCATAGTTGTTTTTTTTAAAACTATAGTCCGGCCCTCCAACGGTCTGAGGGACAGTGAAGTGACGCCCTGTTTAAAAAGTTTGAGGACCCCTGGTTTAGATCCTATAGGAAATTTAAAGCCAAGAAAATTATTTTAATACTGCCACACAGTTCTTTGATAATATAGGGTGTCCGAAAATTCACGCAAGAAGTAATTTTGATAGAAAACACAGGTTTATAATTAAAAATTGTAAATTTTTTATTGACTCATAAATTATACAGTATAGGGTTATGTATGGAATAGCACATCGGGTAAATGGCCTCCACGGCTTTGCTGGCACATAGGCAAAGCCGTGGTCTTCATTGGTCTTCATTGTCCCTGCTCCTGGGCCACAATTGGTACTTGGTAATGCTTATCAAATTGAAGGGATTGAAATCAAAGAGCCAATGTACA